AGGCGACTGGGGGTGGTTGGGGAGGTAATGGGGGGGCACAGATGGGGGGGAGCTGTCCCCTGGGGTGCCAACCCATCCCCGTGGGGAGGAGATCCCAACTTCGGATGCTTTTGGCTCATTTTTTAGAGGGTGCTGGATCCCCGTGCAATGCTGGTGTCAACCCCCCCCTCCGATGGTGAGCCATGAAAGTGCCACCCAGGGGTGTCCCCTACCCAGCCCTGGGTTAAAGGAGATCCCACCCAGGACTGTGGGACCCCCGTGGCACCACAGCAAAGAGCTGCGCAGCAGCGGGCTGGGGGGGATTGCAATTAGAGCTGTGCCTAATGAGGGTTCAACGCTGGGTGCTCCTGGCCTGGGGGGACCGAGGCACTGCGGGGCCGCCTCACCTTGACGTCCCAGATGCTCATGCCGCCGTCCATCCCCGTGGTGCAGAACTGCGAGCAGTTGGCCTTCCCACCCGCCAGCACCGAGATCTGGCTGCGGGGCGCAAAGAGGTGGCAGGGAGTCAGCCCCAGGCCCCTGCCGAGCCCTCGGGACTGCCCGGTCGTCGGTGGGTAAGAGTGGGGCCGGACCCCTTTGTCTCCCCCACCCATGGCAGGGATGCTCCAGGGATGCTCGGGGGTTGTCCCAGCAACTGCGAGCAGTTGGCCTTCCCACCCGCCAGCACCGAGATCTGGCTGCGGGGCGCAAAGAGGTGGCAGGGAGTCAGCCCCAGGCCCCTGCCGAGCCCTCGGGACTGCCCGGTCGTCGGTGGGTAAGAGTGGGGCCGGACCCCTTTGTCTCCCCCACCCATGGCAGGGATGCTCCAGGGATGCTCGGGGGTTGTCCCAGCTCCTGGGGCTGGACCCCTCCATCTCCCCCCCGCCCCATGTGCAGGGATGCCCAGGGATACCTAAGGATGCTCCAAGAATGCCCAGGGATGCTCCAGGGTTGCCCCAGCTCCCAGGGCTGGACCCTCCCATCTCCCCCACCCATGTGCGGGGATACCCAGGGATGCTCCGGGGTTGTCCCAGCTCCTGGGGCTGGACCGCTCCATCTCCCCCACCCATGTGCAGGGATGCCGAAGGATGCTCCAAGAATGCCCAAGGATGCTCTGGGGTTGTCCCAGCTCCTGGGGCTGGACCACTCCATCTCCCCCACCCACGTGCAGGGATGCCCAGGGATACCCAAGAATGCCCAAGGATGCTCCAAGAATGCCCAGGGATGCCCAAGGATGCTCCGGGGATATCCAGGGATGCTCTAGGGATGCTCCAGGGTTGTCCCAGCTCCTGGGGCTGGACCACTCCATCTCCCCCACCCATGTGTAGGGATGCTCTGGGGATACCTAGGGATGCCCAAGGGTGTTCCAAAAATGCCCAGGGATGCTCCGGGCTGTCCCGGCTTCCGGACAGTGACACAGCCAAGGGATGCTCGGGGCCCAGCACCCCCAAGCAGCCCCCGA